ATAAAACTTCAGTTGCATTATCATTCTTTTTTATATTTAGTAAATTTATTACAACTCGATAAAAAAATTTTTTACAGTTATTCATCTTTCATATCCAAGCTGAAACAATTTTTAGAATAGATTTAAAAATTTTTACTTTTGAAATGCCCTAAAATTATACACACAAAAATTTCGTTTACCTGCTTTGTCAATATTTAATTATTGCAATATTTGTTATTATTTTCTTTGAATTGAAACATTTATTTACGTAAAATGATCATTTCTGTTTACGATTTACCAATTTCTAGTTTTTACACAATCAGTAAGTTAGTTGAACAGTAAAAGAATCCGAAAAAGCTAAAAACGAATTGTTAATAGAAAGAAAAAAATAATAGATGTCTCGAGTATATTTTCAACAAGTTTATGACTTTATTAGTTAGATTTAAATTATGTAAATATATTAATTTTTGCTATTAATTACAAAAAAATTGATGTCCGCGTTCTCACAATAATACAATAAATTTGCCTTTCAATTTAAAATCATCACTTCCTTGATGATTACCACAAACTGAACACATTAAATTAACTTAAATCTAAAAAATGTGTTAAAATTAATCGTTGTACTTAATAACAATTTCTTATGGCAAACAAAAAAAGAAAAAAAAAAAAAAAAAAGAAAACAATTATTATTTTCATAGGGCAACAATTTCATTTTGTGATATAAATTTTTCTATTAGAATTTGAAGATATCATAAGAGCATTTAACACTCGTATTACCAGTATTTCAGTACTTGATTTAAAGTGCGCGATTGTTTTATCAGTTGATGATTGAATTGAATACATTTGATATGTTATTCCATATGTTTGTTTTAGTCTTTTTTTTTTTTTTTAAAATTGCCAAAATAATAACTATTTTCTAGTTGGTGCCAGCAATTTCACTGAAATTATTTCGATAAACTTCTCATAAAAAAAAAGAAAAAAAAAACAATTGTACTAAGCATTTTGATATTTCTTACTGATAAACTAACAAAGTGAGTGATAGCAAAATATGTGGAATGTGCTTTCGATAGTTTTAATTGAATTAACTTTATCATGTAATTCTCATTAGATAATATCATTCTAATACCAAAAATCTAATTTCAAATCAATTATATATAGTTGTAAGCACAATAGTGTAATTATCATTTTAGCATCATTATCGGATGATTAAATCTCTATCGTTTATCAGAAATATATCTAAGCATAAATTATTAAAATACCATTATTTTTGTTATATTAATTTGAAATCATTCATATAATTTCATCCTTAATTGAATATTCTTTCTTGTCAACAATAATTTATCAAATAATTTGATTTATTCACAAATATCTATTATCAGCTACAGTAAAGTAGGTAATAGCAAAATATTAAAGAATGTATTTTCTGAGATTTCAATAATACTACTAAACATTTTTGATATTTTATTGATAAAGCAATAAATTAAATAATAACAAAAACATGTGAGATGTATTTTCTGATAATTTTAATGAAACAAACATTCAAATTGCTCACAAAAGTTTATCAAAATTAAAAAAAATTTTTTTTTTCTTTTTCATCTATATACTTTCGATTTTATATAGATCAAAAAATATGATGCATTATAATACATGAAAATATGGTGCATCATATTACAACCAATACAACATTCCAGAGCGCAAATCGACAAATTTAAACATGCTATTTGTTCGTGCCCATCCATGTTCACATTCCCAACAATTTATCTTACGTGCCCAAATTTCATCCACTAATGACGTATATATTCTGTAGTTTATTATAATCGATTGCTGATATGTGAAGCAATCAATCAATAAATCATTTGATTATTTAATGAATTTATTAAATTAATGGATGGATAAATGACAAATTTAAATTTAAGTTTATAATAGAATAAACTTTTTCCTTTTTTGTTTTTTTTTGAGGGTGAAATGGTAAGGAAAAAAAAAAAAAACTTTTTCATTCTAGAAAAAAAAAAAAAAAAAAAAAAAAAAACAAACGAAAAGTTTACAACAAATATTGTTTAAATTGAAGTTAAATCATCACTAGAAGTGTTTCTACTAGCTTACTTAGCTTGCTTAGTCTAACATGCTAGCTGTTTGCAATGAACAGCTGCACGCTAAGCAAAACTAAATTTTTATTCAGATCATCAAGATTATAATAGATTTTAACTAAATGAAATAGCATTTGGTATCGATCATACATTTTCAAATGAAACATTGTTAGATTAGTGATTAAAAATTTTTTCTTTTCTTGCTTAATTTAGTTAATTTTGATTGTTTAACTTCAGACGAATTATTAATAAATGTTTTCTTTTGACTAATTTTATATTTATATTTGTATGATTTGTGTATTCGTATGAATGTTTCCCATTATTTTTTCGATATATTTTGGATCATTTATTTGCTAATTTCATATTGTAATTATAACAATTCAAAATGAAATTATCGAAATCGAATAATTTTGCTAAAATTAGATTAATGAAGAAATTTACTAAACAAAATTTCAAATTATTATTAGTTTTTTGTTTATTTATGTCTTTCATTCTTCCCTTCCTCTTTTTTTTTTTTGATTACATGAAGCGATATCATTCAAACAGCTGTGTAATCCATATATATATATTTTTTAAATTTACTTCAATTTCAAATCATATATAATTTATGAAAAATATAAACGACCTACTAGTGTTTTCTTAGACTTGAGACATTTCTAAAGGTTAGAAAAATGAGCAAAGTAAAGAATGACGAAATGAGAAGAAGAAAAATTAACTTCTCTATAACTTTTTTTCTTTTCTTCGAGATAGTATTATTAATATTGTTTAAATTTCAAATTCTAACTGAATGCTCATCGATAATTGCTTACATCATTCCATCAACTGTTTCCAGAAAATGAATGCGATGCTTTATTGTATTTCATTTATATCAATTTTTAAATTTTAAAAGAAAATCAATAACTTAATCTTTTTATCCAATCTTCATTTGTTGTTATTTAAAATGTTAAAAATTTTAAATAGAATTTTTGCATTTGCGTCTACCATTTGCGAATTAATCCAATTTTTTGTTAAGAATTAAGTCAAATTTGAAGAGAATTGTCTCAATTATTTAGTAAAACTAAGAGAAAATGTTGAAATTGTATGCTTTTTGAGAATTAAAATTCTTTTTTTAAAAAAAGAAATATTTCATATCATTGTTTTATTTCCAAACTGTAAACTTTTACAAGTATGAAAGCTACCATTTCATGGTATTGCTCATTATTAGTCATGATGCAGTATGAATTCATTAACTGATAACTATGTTAATTTAAATTAATCAAATTAGAATAAATAGAAAAACATTTTTTATTTTAAATTTTTCCTTCATTTTTAGTAAAAATCTCCAAGAAAAAAAAAAAGTAATTAAGACGGAACATGTTCACAACAATTAAATAGTGCAAATGATCATAATTTATTGATCAGTAAAGTTCCTCTTTCATTCTTTTTTTTTTTTTGTCCTTTTTCTTTTCAGCTGCTATTAATTACAATTCATTCATGTGTTTTTAATTAAAAACAAAATTAGTAATTTAAAAGTACTGTAAAATTTACAAAACAATTTATATCAGCTTTTATCGTTTACTGGATCTTAATTACTTGTAATTGCTTAGTTATATCAGGTGTTATAAGCCATACCTGTGACTTTTTCATAATTCATCATGACTAATGAATATCATCATTTCATATTAATTACATTGTTTCTTTTTTTGCTTTTTGAAAATTTTCACGGAATTAAATTTGTAAAATATTATCATCTAATTCAATTTCTTTTTTTCAGTTTTCTTTTTCCCTTTAATTTTTAAATTACTTCAAAAAAAAAGACCTCAGATCAGGAAGAGCAAAAGTTATTATATTTATGTATATTTAAAATCATAATTTTCACATTTTTTTATTTTTTGTTACACTTTTTTTTGCTTCCTTACCTTACTTAATGAGTTATTATTGCTTGGTTATATCATCCTGGTTATGACATATTTACGTTAAATATCCTAAACTCATACATTTAGCATTTAACGAAATTGATTATATTTTCTAAAATATGAAATCAATGAATTTCACAATTTCAAACCTCAGATTTACCTCATCCACTCGTTTCTTCTCTCTCATTCAATTACATGTCATCAATGTTTTATTTACCTTAATATATTGACTCAATTTTAATCATCATTTTTCACTTTATCCTGCTATTTCATTTTATTCTATTTTACTTTACTAATTTCAATCGTTTGTAAAGATATCAAAGTAAAAAGAAAAAAAAAAGAAAAAGAAAAAGGAGAAAAAGAAGCGAAGAGCGAAGTAAAACATACTAATTATTATTGACAAGAGAAATTATAATTAATTAATAAAAGAAATAAACAATAATACATTATTGCAATGTCATTTTTCCTAACATTTCATTAAATATTTTATCAAAAAAAAAAAGTATAAATGATAAAAGGAAGCAAAAAGAAAAAATGTGAAAGAATTTTGATGAAATGAATGTGCTTTAGCAACAAATTCCTATTTATTTCAATGTTTGAAAATCGATTTTTGTATTTCTTGTGTATTCGTTAAATTTTATTTCTGTGTGTTCTTTCTTTTTTCTTTCTATTTATAAATGAAATAGTAAAATTAATGAGATACTTTTGTAAAGCAAAAATTATTATGAAAATTATATGTCAAATATTTTCTTGTCTTTGATTAATTAATTAATTAATTAGTGTTTAACAAGTGAGAAAGTGAATAACGGAAAGTGAAAAAGAGTGTAAAAGAATGACTAAAACAACAAACAGAGAATGGACAGGTTAAAAAAGGATCAGAAATACACTGATAAAATTGTATTGATATATAATTTGATTTGCTTTATCGATTGTCAAAGTGATTTCGTTTTTTTTTTGACTTGTAAAACATAAGTCGTTAAGTTTTTACTAATTAAATCACTTCATTTTTTCTTTTTTTTTTTTTCAATAGCTTATCTAGATGTCGGAATCAGCAACGCTGCAAAGACGTTTATCACGCAGACTTACGAATACCAAAATTGTCAAGGAACTTTCGGTATGATATCTTAATTAAATTCAATAATTTGTTTTCATTTTAAGATTAATCAGTAGCAAAAATAAAGTCAAAAACTAGTGTTAATATAAGACGTATAATTTTTATTTCTGCCAAGATTTAAATTTTCTATTTTCAAATTACAACGTTATAGCAATTTAACAAGATTTATAATTGCATTTTAATTAATTAATGATCACAAATAAATGGATAATTATTTCTTTAGAGCATAGAAAATGCTACAGTTGTTGAAATGGATCATGGTGAACAAGCGCGTCGAGAAGGTCGCTTCGTTTTTGAATGCTCTTGGGAAGTAGCTAACAAAGGTAATCATCATTTATTTTTTTCATTAATTATTATTATCAACTATTAAATTCTAATACGTATTTGCCTCTTTTTTTTTTTTTTTTTTTTTCTTCAACAAATATTCCAATCATTTATCTCGGAAATGAGTTATTAATTTATATGAGAAAATATTAATTTGCATTTTCATAGCTATAATGTTCAATTAAAGCAGAATAAATTGTAATATTAATTAAGTTGGCGGAATATACACAGTATTACGAACAAAAGCATCGGTAACAACTGAAGAATTAGGTGATCAGTACTGCATGTTGGGTCCATATAAGGAAGAACGAGTAAAATTGGAAGTAAGCATCTCAATATTTACAAAGATGGTATTGAAACTATATGATAGTTTGTTGTTATTTGAAATTTTAGGTTGAAATTTTACAACCTGACTCATCATCACTGAAATATGCTTTGGATCAGTTACGAGATCTTGGCTTTAAGGTATCACCATCTTATCTGATTTTAGTCGCATAACATTACAACATCCTTCTCTTTCCTTTTTTTTTCTTCCGTTTTCTTTTTTTTTTAATTTGTTTTTATAATTGAAATAATTATACCATCAAAATTTTTAAGGCTACTTATGGTAGATGGTTAATTGATGGCTATCCAAAAGTAGTACTATTTGATATAGTTTCAGCTGCTTGGAAACTTGATCAGTGGAAACAAGAGGTTTTAATTGTCAATAATTTGGAAATAAATCATAAATTTTTTAAATTATAGAAAATTTTCCTTTATCTTTCTTATATCAATATTTCATTGGATTATGCAATCATTTTTGTTTATATTACTCATTATCAGTTGTCGATGATTGCACTTACTTCAATCAACCTATTGTTAAAAAAAATTACTAATAGTTAATTTTTAAAAACAATCTTTTTACTTATCACAAATTAATTAGCCCTTAATTATATCAGCTAATTACTGTGATGCTTCAGTTATGGGATTCGTGTAAAATCGGTATACCATATCATGATAGCGAATCGAATGATGCAGTTGTATTGGGTTTCATGGTTGCAATATTCATTCAAAAGGTTGATTTTTCATCATTTTTTTTAACAAATGAAAATTGACGCAAAAAGAAACTTTGATCTATAATAGTTTTAAAATTAGTTGGTTTATAAAAGAAAGAATTATTTTTTGCAAATTTTTTTTTTATCAATAAATTTATTTTAGTATTTGTATGCAATAGAAGGTTATCAACCATTATGTGTAGCTCATTTTCATGAGTGGCAAGCTGGTATTGGTCTTATCTTGTCCAGGTAGTAATAATTATATTAATTTGTAAAAGTTCGTTAATAAATTATTTTATTTTGATCAACCACTCATTCTAATAATAAAAATTAGTGGAGAAATGAAATGTTTTCATTTTTTGTATTTTCGTTTAAAATTGTTTAAAATATTACATTTGCATTTAATAATTTAATAGTAATCATTACACATAAATATTCGAAGTAATACCTCAAATATTTTAAGTAATACTTTAAAACATATATTAGAACTAGCAAATTGTTATTTCATACTATGGAAAACGAATGTTTCAACAATTTTTACAACACATGCTACCTTACTGGGAAGATATCTCTGTGCTTCCGGTGCAGACCTGTACAACAATATTGATAAAGTTTGAAATTCAGTTTTTCATTTCTAATTTTTATATGAACAAAAAATATTATATCTGTATTACCAATGTTTGTTTAAGTATTTTCATTTAATATTCGAAATAAAAAAAATAAAAATACAAAAAAAAATAATAGCTTAATTCTAGTCCATTCAACGATTTATGATCAATAATAATTAAGCATTAATCAGAGTATAAATGTGATCTAGTGAAATAATCTAAGCTTATTTACTTTGTTATTTAAAATAGATTGTACTCAGAATAAGAGCTTAATTATATTGAATGCAAATTTAAATAAAATCGTAGGAAAGAAAAAGCAAGAGAAAAATGATTATAATGTATTCATTTGATTCAATTAAAATAAAAAATCTAAAATTTAACAAGAATGATAATTAAGTATTTTGTATTTTTAAATATTAAAATAAAATTGAATTTTATAGTTTGATGTTGATCGCGAAGCAGGGATACGCCAAATTTATCATAGATATTGTATTGAAAGAGCAGCGGCTAATTTGGCGCATATTTTTACAACTGTAAGGTTAGCTAATACTTTTTAATTTTTTAATCTTTGTACATATTATGGATATTCTTCAAACATAATTTAATCGGGAAAAAAGTGGTATCAAAATTTATTTTTCTATTTTACTTCAATAAATTCCACTTCAATTCAATATTTTTTTTTATCTCAATGTATTTTTTTTTTTTTAAATTAATTCAATGTGCAAGAAATCTATTTATTTATCAGTTAATTTTTTACTAAATTTAAATTTGAGCTTTAAATAGATTTCAATTTTTCCTACTTCAAAGTAACCAAAATTTAATTATCAATTAATATCTTTTTTTTTCTTTGCTCATAACAACAGACAGAAAAGTATACAAAAGCTAAAATATTACAAATAACAAACAAAGTTTGTTTGTTACTTTTTTTTTCTTCTTCTTCTTACACTTTTACCCTTGCACTTCAATTGATGACATTCTTCCTTACTTCAATAAAAATAAAAATTCAAAATATTTGATTTAATTATTATTTCGATTTTAATTTAACCAATTTCTTTCTCTTTCTCCTTTTTTTTTAAAAAATTGCAGTGAAATAACAGGTCTTGAGGCGACACATTTAATTAAAAGGAAGCCGGATATTTTAACGCCAAATGGTTTGAATGTGGTGAAATTTGCAGCTTTACATGAATTTCAAAATTTGCATTCAGTTGCAAAAGAGAAAATTCATGATTTTATCCGTGGACATTTTTATGGGTTCGATATTATTTGTTCAAAAATTTCACTCTTTTAACAAAAAATTGTTTGTGAAATTTTAAAATGACGTATTAATTAAATGAAAGATATGGTTAATTTCAGTTTAGACATTTTAGTGTTATATAAAGTTTTTGTTTGACATTAAAAAATATCCGAGTATAAGAAAAAAAAAAAAACATTTTTTCGAAACAAGTTGAAAAGTTAAGCAGTATTTTTTATATTAGGAATGCTAATAAACTGAACAGATATATTCCGGTTGCATATCTCGTACTGTATAATAGCGGTACCATTGAAACATATACGACAATACGTAGTGATAATTAATACTGATAATAAAATGAGTAGTGGTAAAAAAGAACATTATATATATATATATATATATATATACATTTTTTTTTTCAGACATTATGATTTTAATTTGGATAAAACAATTTATTTATTTACTGCCGGACGGTATGAATTTACAAATAAAGGTGGCGATTTTTTTATTGAAGCATTGGCAAGATTAAATTATCTTCTAAAGGTATGTTAGTAGTATAATATCACATTTAATGATTTATTTTTATATTTTCTGTTCTGCTATAATGCATTCTAATTTTTTGCCTTTTAACATAATTTCAATGACTAAAAAAATGACTATTTTAAGATTTTTATTTTTTAACATCTGATTATAAGCTTTTTGTTCTTTAAAATTTTACTTTACTGTATTTTTTATGTGCAATAAAATAAATGAATCATTGGAATAAAATTGTTAGAATAGATATTAACATGTCAGCTTAACCAACTCTTGGAAACTGTAGCGGAAAACATTCATTTATAATTAGCAAGCAGTAACAAATGGTAGCAAGTGGTAGCAAATGGTAGCAAACGGTGACAAGCGGTATAAACTGCTATACGTGTTTATATATTTTGTACATCACCATTTATGCATAATTAATTAGCAAGTATTAATAAACTTGAGAGTAAAAAATATATTGAAGTAAACAAATTAAAGCTAATGAAATTCTCCTTTTTTTTAAAAATCTTTTCTTTTGAATGTTTATTTCTCTATCACTGTTTGCTTGTTTGTTTGTTTGTTTTACTTCTTTTTAATAATTACTTCTTTTTCAAGTTTTTTTTTTTTTTTTTTTATCTACACACTGACATAAGCAATGTTAATTTAGACATCAACTGATGCAAATTGTAAAGATGTCACCGTGGTTGCATTTATTATTTATCCCGCAGCAGCAAATTCATTCAATGTGGAATCATTAAAGGGACAAGCGGTATGCAAGCAATTACATAATACAATATCAAGAATAAAAGAAAACTTAGCATCAAGAATGTTCGAAGCATGCTTGAAGTTTGTTTTAAAGTTTGGGATTTTGTACATTTATAAGAGTAGAATGTGTAATTTTTTTTTTTTAATCATTATTTGGTATTTAGCTAATTAATAAAGTACATTGATGCAAGCATAATTCTTAATATGAAATGCAAAACTATTTTTCTAATGTAAACATTATATGTAGATTATTAATAAATGGATGGACATTGTATTCTGTTTAATTTTTGTGAAAAGTTAAAAAAATTCTATAACATTTCAAAAATTTTATTTTAAGATTTATTTTATAATGTTTACTGATAATTAGAATGATAGAATAACCTAAGGATAAGATTAGAATATTAAAATGCTCAAAATGTTTGATTTTTCATTAGTATCAGTTTGCATTTTTCATGATATTACTCGTTATTTTCAAGCATTTGTTGTTGAGACCATTTTTTTTTTTCTTATTAATTAAATTATTTTAGCTGAACAATAAATAATTGCTGTGTTAAACTAAAAGAACAAAAAGAATACTTTTAAGTATTTCTATTCAAATTGATGATATACGTTCATATACATTGAAAATATTTACAAATTAAAAACAAAAAAAAAAAAAAAAAAAAGATGAAAATATTTAGAGGTCGTATACCAGATATGGAGGATTTACTACTTCCAGATGAACGTATCCAATTAAAGCGTTGCATACTAAGTGCAAAGGTAAACTTTATTTAATGAATCATAAAATATAAATAATAATGACAATAATAATAATAATAATGAGCATATTTTTAAAGAGATTTTTTTCTAATTCAAACGTTGGTTCCAAATTTTTCTAAATTTTTACATTAAATCTTGATTAATTCATTAATTTCATTAAGCGTGATAATTTGCCTCCAATATGTACGCATAATATGCTTGATGATGCTTGTGATCCCGTATTAAATGCTTTCCGACGTACTCAACTTATAAATCAACCGTTTGATCGCGTTAAAGTATGTTCGGTTACTTTTTTTTTTTTTTCATTTTTATAATTTTTTGTTTTTTTAATATTTTTCATTTTCATTTTTATGATTAAGAACGAATAATTTTGATTTTTAACATTTTAATTGCCAATAATTTATCACTGAAGGTAATATTCCATCCGGAATTTCTATCATCTGTTTCACCCTTAATGAATTTGGATTACGAAGATTTTGTTCGCGGTTGTCACATGGGTGTTTTTCCAAGTTACTATGAACCATGGGGTTATACACCAGGTTTAATATTTATTAATTCATTTTATTATCAATCAAACTTTTCTACATTGTCATTTTCTTTTTTAATTATTAAAAAAAAAAAAAAAATGAACTATTTCTGGAAGAATTTTTGTATACTAAATAAATTTTTTTTTTCAGCTGAATGTACGGTAATGGGTGTTCCATCAGTTACAACCAATCTATCCGGATTTGGTTGTTTTATTCAGGAGCAAGTGCAGGATCCTCATACATTCGGGATTTTTGTTATTGATCGCCGTTTTAAAGAACCTAATGCATCTATTGATGAACTTGCAAAAACTCTTTATGATTTTACGTTAGTAAAAATTTTACTTTACTTTCATTTTTAACGTAAAACAATTATAAAAATCATCTCAATGCTAACTTTTAATTCCGTTTTTTTTTTTTTTATAGATTACTTTCTCGTCGTCAGCGTATTATTATGCGAAATCGAACGGAAAGATTAAGCGAACTTATAGATTGGAAAACTCTTGGAACAGTATGTTTACTTTATCATTTAATATCACTTATGGTCTATATTTTGAGAAGCACAAATCTCAATGAATTTCTATTTTCAATTAAAATATGATACAAAAAAAAAGAAAAAGAATTTATTTTCTCTTTACTATGTTAATAAATTGAAGAATTACAGTTTTATCGTGAAGCACGACGAAAAGCACTGGAAGTTACGCATCCAAATTTCATGCAAGTAATCGAAGAAACTGTTAAAAAAATGTCACGACCAACATCAGCACCATCAACACCGACTACAAGTCGATCGGTGTCACCATACGATAGCGATGAATCAGACACCGCGGAACAAGAAGCATTTGAAGCAAAAGCATGGGCGGAAGCTAATTAGATAAACTTTTATTTCAGAATATTTGATTACATGCTTAATTTATTAAAATGTTTATCAGTTATCATTTTTTTCTTTTTGCTAACAATTTATATTAATATAACATCTATTTAAATCTAAATTTGTTAACCTAAATCATATTACTTCGCGCAATCATCAAAAAGTAAAAATTCATGAATATAAATTGCTAAATTTTTAATCAATACAGTAGAAGTTACATTTTCATCGTCTTTTTTCTTTATATTTCCTTCCTAAATCTATTATCGGTGTAAAAAAAAAAAAAAAAAAAACTAAACTTTTTAGCAGAAAATTCTGGATAAGTTATTATTTAAGAAAAAATAAGAAGAAAGAAAGGGATAGAATAGGGTTCTTTTGATAATAAAATTGAAATTCTCTGTCTTTAAATATTATAGAAAAAAATTTTTTAGAAATATTTTTAGAGTTTATAATTAGCCTTCTTTTTTGTTTTACCAATTTTATAGTTTACCATCACTATTTTCTAATCATTATAATTAAAATTATAATTACAATCTTCTAACTTTCATTTTCATGCAAGCTTTCTCATTAAATGAATTAGTATAATGATTATACCATATCATATTATGATTTTTCTTTTTATTATTGTAACCTGTTGCTTTTATCATGAAATTAATCAAAATATGTGCCTAATCTTTTGTGCTATTATAATCTGCTTTAGCATTTTATACCTGTTTCTTTTCTAATTTTGCAAATATTTTATCATTTTTCATCAATAAATTTTTTATTAAATAGCTTAATTTTGTTTTAATAGTAAAAATAGCAAAAATTCATAGAAAAGAAATATTTTTAGGCTGTTCATATAATTATACTTATGCTGTTATGCTCAAAGAAAATGAAATATTCCTTCTAACATTTAATAATATATTGTATGTGTGTATAAATTTTCACTTAGCTCAATTTAATTTAGAAGATTGGTATTATTGTTTGGCTTATAATTTCTATTATATGAAGTTTTCGCGACTTTCTTCTTTTCATTGTCGACCTATCTCTTTCTCTCTCATAAAGTTTTAGAACACAAAAATGAAAAAAACAAAGATATTTATAATATGGCATACATTTTTTAAATAAAAGATGATATGAATTAATTAAACATACAATAATTTTTCTCACTATTTAATCAAATTAAATTTCAATAAGTTTTGATGCGAAAAAAATGGCAATTTAGCGTTAAATATTGCATAACTGTGTTTTCTATGTTATTTTAAGTTAAAATAACTTTAAATTAAATTACAAAAATTAAATGAATTTAAAAAATTCTCAAAGCATCAATTACATCAAGTACAAATTACTTTTAAAAAAATTTATAGAAAATATAGTTCCTTTGTCAACTTCTTTCTATTCGTAATAAAAGAATAAATAGTGAATTTTTTTAGGCAAAAAAAAAAACACTACAATTTAAATGATAAAAATGAAAGAAATTAATCTGAAGAAAAAAAATAATCATTAGTATTAATTTTAAACTTTCCGGAAGTTTGCATTGATTTTCAAATTATATTCTCTGAGCATATTTTTCAAGTATGCAAAAAGGGAAAAATCATGAGAAAATCGTTGAGAATTTATAATGTGTTATGAAAAAGCATGCCATAAGCGTAATAATGCAAATTTTAAGTTTTGATTAAGTGTGTCTCGAATTGTTGCAGATGAAATATGCATATCGATTTATTGGAAGAAATGACTGATTTTAACTTATTGTTCCATTTATCGCTATGTCAGGTGGTTGTTGATCATCGCACAGCTCCCTTTTCGGTATTTACGATGAGTTATTATTCCACAGTACACCTTGTAGTATTCGAATCATGCACGGTCGCCAATTTTATCAACAGCGAAATGAATAAACAACAAATGGTTTGCATGGATGAAGCACTTATAATGGATACATCAGCTGCAACAGGAAATCGCTACTGGTTACGTAAAAGAAAACAAAATATTTATAAAATTAAAGATGTATATATTTTTAACTAATTTCTTTCAAATAATATATATATCAATGAAATTTTACAGTACTACTATTATACACGTTAATTTTTAATATTCTATAACTTTGGCATTCATGGCTGATGTGGACTTTTGGCAATTTAAAAATTATAAATTTCAAATGTTTTTCTAGACTGAAAAGAAAGGTACAAGCGGTAATAATAACAAAAAGAGTCAAAAAAAGTAAACAAAAAAGGGAAAAAAAGTGGAGGAAAGAAGGTAAAAGGTAACGACAAGGTTAAAAGTGATCCGGGGACGCGTATTACTCATTCGCGAACAAAGCAAAAGAATGGTAATTAAATTTCAAGTGATAGTGCTAAGCATCGACGTGTTAGCACTCATAAGAGTAATTGGAGTAAATTATTTAAAAATATGATGTAATAATCCATTTTTTATCCATTATTTCATTGATGATTTCTTCAAAAAAAAAATTTTTTTTTCAAGTATTTCTACTAAAACGATCTTAAAATAATATAATTTATCAATCTAAAATGATATGAATTATCAATCAAATGATCTATTTATCTATTTCAATATCCAAAACAGTATGCTCCGAAATCATTTATCTTTTTCAATGTTTCAAGCAATACAAAAATATACAGTTCAATTTTATTATCACTTACGTATTTTTTAGAAACTGCAAAAAAGAAGCAAAAGTGATTTTCATTAAAAATGCCCAGCTGATGAATTTTTCACTGCTCAAATTATGTTTAATTTAATTAAAGTGCTAAATTTACTTAATTTGAATTAAAGTTTAATTTTTAATTGAAGTGATATCACTGCATTGTCACTAATGAGCGTCAAACTGTGTATAAACAATTTTTTTTAGTATAAAATATCATTTTTTTTTTCCTTTTTTGTTCTCTTCTTATACACATTCCGAAATTTGCCAATTCTGAGACTCATTTATAAGAAACATACGAGAAATGCTGCGAATACTTTCACTTTGTTTTGTGCATTGCTAAATTCAAAGAATATTGATCTCATTAACATTTTAGTAACGCATTGTTTTGATTATCAATAATTCATAACAGATGATTGCGATATATTTAATCAAATTTTGATACATTACTGGTTTCAAAAATAATTTTAAGTTACCATATATTATTATATGAGCAAAATCTTAGCCTAAATATCTGTCATGATAAGAAAACTCCAATAACTAAATTAACTTAGGATAAGATAAGTAGTGCAAGTGCAACAACATTTCGCAAGAAAAATTATTTCAAAAACATAAAACAACTCAAAGGGTATTATAACTAGTAAATTGATTAACACATTTTTATCAGGTTAAATTATAATATATATATATATATATATATATAATTTGCTCACACCATAATAACTTACATTAATTATTCTGTTTATTACACTATATTATATTATATCATGTTATAATATTAATAATATAATATTTTTATATTATATTACATTAATATTGATATCATATTGTATTATTATATATTTTTGCACTATATTACATATCATATTTTATTATATTATATTCCATTATATACAGTTAATTTCACCTCTATTAATTTCAAATGTTTGCTTATTAGAAAAGAAAGAATTGAGAAAATATTAATAATAAATTATTAGCTAATTGAAAAATGAAATGAATAACAATGATAATAATATTCGAATGGAAAAGTATTCGATAACATTAACTTAAGCTTTTAAGCTAATATCCATAGTGACTAGAAAATTATTTTATTGTTGGTTTTGTCGAATTGAAACACCGGAATTTGTTCACACCATAATAATTGATATCGCTTTTGAATTTTTATTTTTCATTTTTTCTAATTTTTTTTCCAATTTTTTTGGTTTTTTTTTTTTTTTTTTTTTTTTAATTTTTGATTTTTATAAGCAAGTTGTATTTAATTGATATTTAAAAATTAATGGCATATTATATTATTTCTAACTTTTTTTCTTTTCATTTTTTCTTTCTGCAATTTTTTTTTACCTATTTTTTTTTCACTTTCATTTGTTTAAAATTTCAAGTTCAAAAATTTTCTAAAATTATTAAGTGAACAAATTTAAAAACTTGATAGAATAAGTTCTGTTATGCTTTTATTGTAATTAATTTCACTTTCAAAATATATTAAGCATGTGAAAATTTCTTATTTGCAAGATTAGCAACAATAACAAACTATGTCAAATTTCTCTATCAAATCGGCTTATTTAGCTTATTTAAACTAAGATGAAAAATTTTTCAAGTAGTGGCAGAACTTGTATAACTTTCAATAATCTTAACTTTCCTTCTTTCAATATTTTCAGTAATTCCTTCAATATTCGACAATAAGAAGGTGTGATAATAGATGAGCTGAAAAGTAAATCAGAAAAAAAGAAGTTTCATGGATTAGAATTGAAATTCATTTGTAGAATTATATTTTATAGTTCATAATAAAAAATTCGAACGAACTATGATTTATTTTTAAATAAAATATTTATTGATTGCAAGTTGAATTAAAATAAAATTATTTCTATTTCAATTTAACTTGCTATATTTGATCGGTTGATTTTCCACTTCCTTTTTCTGATTATCTCTATTTCTTTTTTATTACATTACAGATTGAGAAAACCAATTTTTCATTTTTTTTTACCTTTTCTGCTAATTTACGAAAAAAAAAATTCATTTTTTTTTTTCAAATATTAAAAAAGAACGATAAGAACATGCCATACACATTTTTGTTTTTTTTTTTGTCACATAGCTTTAACATTTTTATCATTAACAAATACTTTAGAATTGATTGATTATTATAACTGTTTGATTCGTGTGATTAAGAAAAAATTTTTTAACAATGAAATAATATGAATTAAGCCTAAGTTAAGCTTAGATTAATATTATTTACAAATTAATTGAAAAATTTTTCAAAAAAAAAAGTAAAAAAACAAACAAAAAATTCAAAATGAATATTTCATATTTTATATTAAATATGAAACATTTACAAGATTTATTTAACAAAAAAATTTTCAGATTAGCTAATATAACAATTACTGCACCCATCATTCATTAACATTTCTTCTTACAAAATGAAATTTCTTTTTAGCATTTTTAGCATAAAATTAAACGAATAATTTAAGATTTTCATTTCTTCTTTTTTTTACAATCAGTAGAAATAAATTGGATTCAGTGATGCAAAAAAAAAAAGAAAAATTAACCATAAATTTAAAAAGAAAAACAGAAAAATTAATAGCAAAATGTTGCTGATATTTTGCAAATATTTGCCAAATTTTCTTTCTAGCAAAGTAATATCATACAAAATTTTTTAATGTTATCAGTACTTTCAATATTTCATTGACTTTTCTGAATTTATTTTTTATTTTTATTTGATCAATTCCAGCGATATTTTACAAATACTTTCAGGCATTTTTAAAATTTTAAAAAATTTCTATTCCAACTATTTTATCTTTTTTTCCTTTTTTTTGCTAGAACATTTGTCTAAAATTTACCTAAAATAATTACAACACAAGAAAAATCTATCAATTATTCCTGTATTGAATTTCTTCTTTTACTGCCATTATTATTCAATTGGCCAGCAAAGATTTTAAAATCAATTAAATTTAGACGCTAAAATTTGCTATAGACTTATTTCACTTTTGTGAGGAATTAGCTAAACTTCATGATTTATTACAAATCCATAATTTCTTTTTTTTTTTTTTTTTTTCTATTTGTTTATGAAATATTATTGTTAAATCATTCAGTAATTTAGCATGTAATTTTCATTACTATCTATCTTTTTTTGTTTTTGTTTACAATCAAAATTTGTCTGCTTTAATCACTATTTTGCTTCATTTACAGCTTTTTCCTCGATTCTTTTTTTTTTATTTTCTTATTTTCAATTTTAAAGAAATAATTTATATATTTGAATGAATAAAAGAACAAAAAATAAGGAACAATTGATAAATAAAAAATAAATACAACTTTTATCATATTAAACTTAAGGAACAAACAAAGAAATGTTGCCTTGTTTTCGTTTTAAAATTATTTTATAGAAATTACTAAGCCTATGAAGATGTGTAAAAATTATTTTTTTAATCAGTCATAAAAATTAAAAATAAATTATATTTATAAATGCATAATATATTCAAAGAAGATAGGATGTACATTTCAACAAAAAAAAAAAAAAAAAAAAATGAGGCTTATAGAATTATTTTGACATAGATGAATGATAGATAAATGTCAAATTTGTTCTCTCATATAAGAAATGACAATTTGTCGCATATAGGAAAATGATAAACGAGGTGAAGAAAATGGAAAAAAGAAATTTTTTTTTTAGAATTAAGAAAAATTTTTCGTATAATGTTCATGAAATGAAATTTTTTCATCTCTGAGATTTTCATTATTTTTTCGTTGGAAATTCAGAAGCTAAAAGCTTTTAATTTTTGTTTACTTAAAATATAAAAATTCTAGAATAAATTTTAGAAATTGAATATAAGAAGGAAAAAAAAAAAACATATTACGAAGATTATGGCTACTTTTTGGATTTAAACATATCATCATTTTTCTTTTCTCATAATTTTTATTTAGGAAATTAATTAATTTTACATTATTGTTTTTAACAGTTACACATATTAATTTCGCATTATCCATTACCAAAAGATCGTTTTTTTTTATCATTTCTTCTTATCAATTCAGTTATTATCAGTCATTCATCAGTTTGATTATATGTCTAATCTTTTCTGCTTCTTTTGTTTTGTTTGGTATATTGAATATATCACATTGCATTAATTGCATATTTTGATTAGTTAAAAAAAATCTGCGAATTTCATTCAATTCTTTTTTTTTCATCCGAAATTGTAAGGATCAATTATTTCATTACAAATGAATATAAATTTATGACGAATATCATGAAACTTTAGCATTTATTTATTTTCTTTCATTTTTTTTTTTTTTTTATTACATAAAAGTTTATATTAAATTTTAACAATAAAAACGCGAAGCGAATATATAGAAAAAACTATTTGTTAGAATAGCATATTGTCTTAATTACATTAATTCAAACAATTGTTTTTTTTTTTTCTAACTTATTGTTATTAATGTAGAAAATGAAATTATTAACTTTTGCAATTTTAATGTTTGCTAATTTTATTTTTCACATTTTCTCTCACTTTCAGTCTCTCCCACTCTTTGTTATCATTTTTTAGCTAATTTTTTCGTGAAAAATAAATATTATTTCGAAGCTTTCAAGCCTGTAAAAAAAGAAAGTAAAATTACACTTAAATTAATGAACTATTACTAATGATTAGTAAAAGTTTGTTGTTTGTTGTTTATTGTTATTGAACAAAATTATTGGTTTTGTTCACTATTAAAAAAGAAAAAGAAAAGTGAAATTAAAAAAAAAAAAAAAAATCCTCCACATTATTTATTACCATTTCCATAATTAAATCAATTTTGAAATGAATTAATTTTTTCTAATTTTCAGATTGTTTAATACAAAATTGATAAAAGTTTAATCAGTATGATAATTGCGATGATATTACGCTATTCGATGATACAAATAATAATTGTAACAAGCATATTAAGCCATCTAACTTATTCCTATGAAATGGACGACAATAATAATAAGTGCCTCAGTGAATTTGGCCCTATTTACTGTAACTTACTAGAGTATGCCAATGAAGTAAGCAAAAAATAAATCTTTTTTTTTTTTGTTTTGGAAAAAAGTAATTAAAATTTAAAGGTTTCACTTTATTTATTAGTTTTTTAATAAATTTTAAATTATTTGGTAATTTTAATTTTTCTCATAATTTTGTATATTAGTGATATATATAAAAAAAAAAAAAAAAAAAAAAACATGACTAATAATGTATATTGAGTTATATCAAAAGATTTTTATTTAAATTTTTTTTTTTTTGGAAAAAAAGGCTAATTTACTTTTACAATTATTTTTCGTTTATGCAGCGTTTATGCAGTGAAAAATAATTTGCATTTCAATATATTATTATTTAAGATATGCAAAATTGTACTAAAATTTTCATAGCATAAAAAAGTAATTAAAAAAGGTGAAAAGAAATTTTGTAAAGTAATGAAAAAAACTTTCTTATATTTTCATTTGAGAAAAATTAAGGAATAATGAGTGTTTAATTATTGAAAGCTTTGAATGAGTAATTATTGTAAAAAATTTTTTTTAATTACGAAATTGTTTGAATGATTTGTGAAAACAACATTTCATAAAACACATATTTCTATCTGATTAAATGATATCGATAATATTAGATATGATTAATTTTATATAAAAAATTTAATATTATATGAAAATATTAAATTAACTATTTAAATAAGCTAAATTCTTCTTTTTTTTTTTTTTTTTTAAATTTGAACAAAAGTTTCTGTATAACTGTTTTATTCATTTGCATCTTTTATTTTTTGAACTAACTCTCAATTTCATTCTCATTAATAAGCACATTAATACAGCATATGCAATTCCAACCATTTTATTTTTCAAAAATATGACAAAGAGTAAGATAATGAGAAATTATAATATTTTTAATATTAATTAATTATTTAGTAATATATTTTCTAATAATTCAGCAACCTGTACGTATGCCAACAATGCAACAGCTAAATCAAAAGCGAACACTGAATAAAGCACGGAACAAATTGATTAAATCAAGTCGATTCTGGGGTAAACGAAATGTTGATACGGTATTTATTGATAAATATTATTTCAATGTTAATTTTTTCTAAATTTGTAAAGTTTTTGTTTTTGTTTTTAATGTAAAATATTAGAACGAATAATAAAAATATAAGGTGGAAAATTTTTAAATGAATTTTGTAATTTTAAATAAACTTTAAATTTATGAGAAAAAATTCTGTAGCATGTAAATTATGAAAATAACTAATGAAAATTATAAATTTTGTGTTGCAGTGTGTATTGTAAAATTTTTAAATCAAAAATATTTTCAATCATATTGCAAGAGAAATGAGAAAGAAAAGAAAAAGAAAAAATGACAAAACAAAAGCATAGAGTTAATTGAATTAATATTTTCATATTTTTACAACTGTTAAATCTTTTTTTAACAAAGTTGAATAGTTGTCTTTGAAAAGAGAAATTTCAAAATTTAATTCTGAAATGAAAAAAGCTTTCTTTGGTTTCAGTTTAACGAGAATGAATCAGGTTTAATGCCTGATACCACAAATACTGGTATGTTAATAATTCACTCTTTAAAAAAAAAAAAAGAATTCAAACTTTCTATTTATTATGAATTCTGGTGGTTTTTTCATTAGTGGTATAGCTTACATTCAATTGCAAAAGTTAGATTTTAATACTTTGGAAAATGTTTTTTTTTTTTTTTTTTTATTTCAATCATTTGAGTAGTGAATATTTAGCAGCAAATTTTTCCTAATAAATCAAAGGATTTGTTTTGAAAAATCGCCGAATTATTTAAGATAATTTTTTATTTTAGATGGACCATACAGACGATTAGGCCATCAGAAGTTTGGACTTGCATTATCAAGTCGTTTCTGGGGCTAAGCAACAATTACACACTTCTTCGACAAACATTTCATTTATTCATCAATTAATTTACCCGAAATTTTTGATGGAAAAAAAATAACTTTACAAAAGTTTATATTAAAAGTTATCATCCAAGATTTTTGCAAAATTTGACTTCAAGGCTGTCATTTTTATTGTCATATTCCAATAATTTTTATTTCTTCTTTTTTTTTTGCTGGTAAATATGATATCATAATTGAATAATTAATTCATATCTGATGATATACAGAAACTTTCATTAAAAAAATCTATCATTCATTAATTTCGTTTTTACAAATTGATTTTTACAAACAACATACATTTATAAAAATTATGCATAAATGAATTATCGGAAATTGAAAATTGAAATTAAATTCAATTTATGTCATGAAATGATAAAAGGAGATTATTCCAAAGAAGAAATGTGAAATTCTTAAAAGTGTAATGTTGATTTATTATTTAAGCTTATCAATATTGTCAATTAATGATAACAATATTTAAACCTATTGGTATTATCAATTAGTGATAACAGTACTTGAGCTTACTATGTTATATCAAAACAAATATTTACTCAAACATTGTTAAATGATACACAGTAAATGATATAAGGTAAACGACTATCAATTCATTTAATAATTGCTTTAGCATAATAATTCATATTATCAATCATAGTATCATATAGCAATTCATTGTGCAACAACTAATTTTTCACAACAAAATGTCGCCAAATATTCTTGCGAACATTTCCCGTAATCGCAACAAACTGTCGCAACACCTCGACGATAGCTACGATTTGATTTCCTATCAGCATCTATAAATTTATAATTTTGTACTAAATAAAAACAAAAAGAAAAAAGGGAAAATTTTTTCAAATTCTTAATCACTATCATATTATAAACATTATACTAATAAAATGATATTCTTATCACACTTTTCAATAATTTGTTAATTATCAAATTTGCGAATTTCATAAGTATGTCATTTTTTATCATTTTAATGAAATCCAATAATTTTAACAGTACTCACGAAACTCATTTATTTATAATATTATTCAATTCTGTTGCAAAAAAAATCATTAAATAATTTTATGAATTAAATAAACGATTATTTTAACATGTTAATAATTTATGTTAAATCATTGTAAGTATAATTACGGTGGAAAAAAATCATTTGATAAGTAGCAGAAGCAAGAATAAAATCAAAGGTCATTGTGATAGTGATAGAAAATGATATGATTAATTTTTTTTTTTACAACTTTACATTTATTTCTTGCAAAATTAATCAAGTAATCTGATTAGAAATTTTAAAAATAAATCAATAGTTTCAGAATGAATTAGTCAATTTTAGATTAACATAAATGATAAATTGAACAGTGGAATTGTTTGTTGTGATAAATTGGTGATATGACCATGATTATAGAGATATGATAGAGATCTCAACAACCATGATTAAAATATTTATTAAATTATTATTTACCAGTTACATGATAGAATTGCAATCATCTGTATGTTTTACATTACTAATTGATAAGATAACGTAAAAAAGTTTGATAACGATTAGATCAAATTAATGTTAATCACAAAAAAATAGAAATATTTATGATCTGAAAAAGAATTTGCAACGAATATGGAGAAATTATGAAAAACTTTTTTTCGTATGTTGAAAAAAAAAAGTTATTCTAAAGTAATGAATATCCCATCAACGTTTAAGATAAATCAAATGAATGTTAAATCTGTATTTGTTCAATGAAAAATAAATTAATTAGTAGAATTTAAAAAACGCAATTGAAACTATTTCTCGGTAAAAAAAAAATTTAAATAACTTTAATAATCTAAATTTTAGGTCAATTTTTTTAAATATAGAAAAAACTTAGCATACACTGTTTGTTCTTTCATATTATTCTATATTTTGCTAATTTGATAATTATCAGTTTCTCAGCCAAAGAAATGATTTAGCGATGAAAAAGCAACTAAAAAACATTTTATGTTAACTATTTAAATGACAAAATTGATTGCGATTATCCATTTGATCTTATTCAAGTAAACTTCATATGGAAATAAGACCGAAACAAACTTAAACGAAAATTAAAAAATAAACAAAATTTGCCACAGTTGAAATATTATTGAAAATGATATAAATGAAAGTTAGTAAAATAATAAATCAATATTTAAGCTGATACTCGAAAAGAAAAGTAGGCTAAATTTGTTAATAAAATGAAAATAATTGAAAATTATTTTTTGCTTTCATAAAAGATGAATCACACAAAAAATGATAACATTAGCTTATGAAATGATAAAAATAATAAAACTTAAATGTAAATCTTAAATATCAATATATTCCAATAAAATTTTTTTGCATTTAATATTAGCCATAACAATAAATATTATGTCAATTTTGAAGTGTCATCCAGAATTCAGGAATGAATTCAATGACTGATTTAAAGTTATTTCCATTTACAAAGTATTAGATAAAGTAATCACTTTCTTCTCTTTTCTTTCTTTTATTTTTGCATAAGCAAAAATAAAAGAAATAATCTTCAATGATTATTTGAAGAAAGAAATAGAAATAATTATCATTCAGAAAAGAAAAAAAAAAAAACAAGGAAGTTATATGGAAAATTATTAGTTGATCGATAGGAACAACGAAAAATAATACTTAAGTGAAAGAATACAATGATAAAATCATTATAGTTTTTTTTCTTACAAAAAATTTTCTATCTGAAAACACTTTTAAATTACTGCAAGATTAAATCTTTCACACAATTAGCTGCTAATCAATTAGTAATTATTATAACAAATAAAATTCAATTATCCATTTGGATTAATTATTGGTATGTTGCAACCTTTTTTTCTTTTTTGTTTTTCTCTCGCAGAAATTTGTAACAAATACTATCATCAAAGAGAATTTCTAAAGAAGTAACAAAAATACAAAAAAAAAAAAAAAGAAAACAAATTTTTCTTCTTAACTGTTTTCTAATATAATGTTGAAATTTCATCAAAATAAAAAAGAAAGAAAGAAAAAAAGCCAAAATTATTGCATATCTTTTTTCATCTCTATAAACAAATCAAAGTAGATTTTGCATTTAATTAATTATCACATTCACTTACATATTGTATTTGTTGAACTTTGAAAGCATGGATAGGTACTATTTGTCGGAGTACATTTCTGCAATAAATTCAAATTTATCAGCTTATAAAATATTTGATCATTTTCAAAAAAAAAAAATTGTTTTAAGCATAAAAATAAATTTCGAAATTTAGAAGTTGAAATATTTTTCTGGTTTTGTGCTGGAAGATTTTTATTAAAAATTTGTGTCACAAATAATTTTGATTATTCTTTTAATAATAAGAACTTTATTTTATTAAATTCTCTTAAATAAAATAAGAACTTTATTTTATTTGAAATTTGTGCGAAATGATTAGTTGACTTAACGATGATTTACAATTTAAAAAAAAAAAAAAAAAAAAACGAGAAATCTTGATCAACTTTACTACTGATTTACCTTAATTAATGCATATATTAGCTCTCTACCGCAAATTCGAGAATAATTTGCTGATACAGTTTGTTCCATTTTATGATATGTGTTTAAAAATTTGTTAAAAGTATCAAATGTCTAAAAATTCATGAAACAAATCAATGAATAACAGAAATTGAAAATAAAAAGTAATAAAATTGAAGTCAGCTTTAAATGAATTATTGTTGAAAAATATTGAATTATTTAATTTTCCAAAAAATACTAAAAATTTAAGGCATTAAATAATATTATATTTTATTAATGGCTATAATCATTCCAAAATAATAAATTCAAAGTATTTGTATATATTTCAATAAATTATCGATTGATTAGAACAGTTCAATCTTACTTGAATATTAACAGCTACTTCAGTTGCTCCTAGAGTGGAATATTTGATCATAAATGCCATAAAGATATATAAGAAAATGATATTCCGGAATATCATCCGGAAGCTTGAATAATACATATTTTCTAGTCTTCAGCTTTAATTTTCCAGTTTTTTTTTTTTTAAATTTTAATTCTGGAAACATTTAATTAAGCCTTTCTTTTGAAAATTTACTAATTTTAATTAGATTCCTTAATAATTTACAATCTTTTCTTCCTTTTCCACCAATATACAGTATCATATATGGTAAACTTATTCTATCCATTCATGATAAGTTTTTTAAACTATTTTTTAAAATTATTGCATGATTAAAAATATATAAATCTCAAAATAGCCGTTTCACTGACCAATGAAATTAACTAACAAATGATCATAAATGAAAAAATGCGAAAGAAATATGAAAAAATAGAAAAAAGAACTGATAAAAGTAATACAATCTGATATGAAAGTCAAGCATATAAAAAAAAAAAAAAATTATAAAATGTATAAAATTTCCGCGACAATGCAATATTTTATGTGAAGAAAAACGATACAATCAAGTGATATGATATGTGTAATATATCAACCAAATGTTAATATAATATTCTTTTATCATTTGTTCCACCATCATTGCTTCATTTCTTTTTTTTCTTTATCAGTATCATATTATTTTAGTTTATATCAAAATTAATTATTAAGATAATTTGAAAAATACAAAGAAAAAAAGAGAAAAAAAAGTGTGCAAAAAAAAGAAAAACTTAATAATTAACAAAAATTAACCAAAAAAACTTTTTAATATGATATTTATTATTTTTATTTAATTAATTAACCAGAGATTAATTTAACAAAAGTGATATTCGATTGAAATAACATAATAATGGAAGGTGTAATTGGTTTTAAAATGCATTATTGGTGAAATGTTCATTTTGTTGTGGCTTTTTCTTTTTTTTTTAACCAATATTTTTTTTTTTTTGTTCCATTGTTTTATTTTTCATTTTTTATTTTGTTTTGAGAATTAATTTATTTAAGAATTAACTGATTCACATCTTTTTACCTGCTATAACATTTCTCTCTGATACTGTTCTTTCAATCTTTAGAAGAATATGAAAAGTTTGAATTTCAATTTCATCAAATTTTCATTGCTTAGTATTTTTAACACAATAAAATTGCTTTGAAAAAGAGAATGACGGAATCAGAGAGGAAGGGAAAAATTTTTTTTTTTTGAGGATGTAATAAATAGGTTGATTATTATGACAAACCATTAAAATTACAATGCTGATGCATTTAATTACTTTTACTTTTTCGATAAAACATTTTAAGATTTAAATTTGATAAAGACTTTTGATTATACTTTTGAGCCTTTTAACTCTCATACAATTTGAATGGTAGATATCAATTGAATTTTAAAATTTTGCAAATTTTAGACAGACTTTCATATTCGTTGCAATCATTACAGAAACATTTTGAACTTAAAAAAATAACTATTTTACTTAATAAATTTTAGTCCTAAATATTATCTATAAATTCTTTGAATTTTATATTTTTCACATTGTAATACATCAATTTTATTTTTTTTATTTTTTTTGCATCGGATGAAAGCTTCGTAATTTAAAATTCTTTTTTTTTTTTTCTTCTCTCCTCCACTTTTTTTTTCGAAATACTTTCAAGTGATCATATGCATATATTTTCGCCATGTATGCAATTTTTTTCAGCAATCATATAATACGATGATGTCAAATTCAATCAATAAATTATTTTTTTCAAAACATTTTTCATTACCTACTGCAATTACACTAAAATTTCAAACTGTAAAAAGAAGTTAAAAGATCGAAATTAATGCTCAAAATATCCAAAGTATATTCAGAGATGTTAAATGCTTTATAATATTAGCATACAAAATAAGCAAATGACAAATTTCGAGCTTAAATAAACATTTAATTTAAAAAAAAAGTTTCAATTTAATACCTTCATTTCATTCAATTATCAATTGGGTTTTATTAAATGGTATAAATTGAATAAAATCTGAATTGATTAATTACGATTACAATGGATTAAGAAAAAAAAAATGTTAGGTAGTAAACAGAAAAAAGGAAACCAAAAAAAGGTAAAGAAGTAAAAAGGTAACGGAAACGATGTTTAATAGTATCTCAAACGGTATGCACCGATTAATAATGATGTACTTTGAATGCACTTTAAACATTCTAAATATATTTGAATTAATAGTACTAATCCATCAAAGGATATTTATGTACTACAAAAAAAAAAAAAAGAAAAAAATTGAATGTTAAACTTTTGTAATACCTAAAAAGATTATTTGCTCATGTGAAAAGTACTCAAAGAAATGTTCATCCTTCCAACTATTCATTTCCTTCATCTATTCATATCTACATTATATTTATTCTTTTGTGCTCTCTCTCTCCCTCTCTCTCTCCCTCCCTCTCTCTCTCTCTCTCTCCTTATATCCATTTATCGCTTTCCTGATCATTCCAAAATTCATTCATTCCCTCTATCCATTTTCCTGATCATTCCTCTATCCATTACTTTATGTTATCAATTCACACATTCATATGCTTCATCCGTTTACTGATATATTCATTTATCTATATATGCATATTATATATTCGTTTCCGTCATTTCCGTTGAAATTCTTACGTTTGTCCATTCAGTGATGTCAATCAATGTACGTTTATCCGTTCATTCTACAATCAATTCACTTTTTTCTTAATTCATTCAAAAATTTCTCCATTATTGATTTTAATCCGGTTTTAAATTGATTTTAATAGCTGTTTAAGAAAATTATTTAATTATTTATTTATTTATTTTTTTAAATGATTGCATAACAAGTATCATTGTATACTTTCACACATCATAATTCGTTTGATGAATTACTTATACTTTTATCAAAATTAATACAATATTTGTAATTAATTATAATTCATAACAAATGATATTATTTTATGTTAATTTCGAAAATATTCCATATTTTATTTTCATTACTTTTCTTTTATTGACTCGATGAAAAAAAAGGAAAAAAAAAATTGACTGTAACACAGTAATCTATGATTATTTGTTCAACTACAACGATTCATCGATCAGTTCAAATCTTTCTTCTTTTTTTTTTCTTTTTAACTACAGTACTCTCATTTTTCATCTTATCTTCATTCCTAAAACAAAAAGGTAAGAAAAAGAAAAAAAAAGAGGTAAAGGAAGAGGAAGAAGAAATAGGTACCTTTTAAGGATGTTACAAATTATAAATAAAATATCAGTGTGTTATGCAACAAAAATAATCATTTTGTCTAATTTTTTTGCAAATGACTTTCTAAATTATCAATCATTTCAAAAATAAACATCGATCAGGTTTCTTTTTCATTTCTTTTCTGTTCTTTAGTTATTTTTCATTTTGTTCATAAAATTATAGCATAACATTTGATTTACTTATCATTTCATCATCAAAAAAAAAAAAAAAAAGAAAGAAAGAAACTCAAAAAATGATAAGCATTTTATTTATTCGCATAAAATATACAAAAAATTATTACAGCAAAATAAAATCTATTCAAATTTACAATAGCAATATAAGAATATTATATAATTTGTTAAATACTACAATGTATAATCATCATTTTTTCAACTTTTCCCTTCTTTTCTTTCTTAACTTTTTTTATTTAAATTTTTTTTTTTTTCAAATGAGTTTCAAACATTATTAACATTTTCAAAGTGCATATTTAGTTTAAAAAATGTCCTTTCATTTTCAAAAACAGAAAAAAAAGGGAGAAAAGAATTCGTTCAAGATTTAACAGTTCATACATGATATTATACAAGAGATGAAAATGGATATTTATTATTGTATCAATTAAAGAAATTGATATTATCGTTTCTTAATCTAATCAAATTAAAGATTTGATATAGTAGGATTTTTTTTTTTTTTTGTAAACAATACATTTCACTGTAAATTAAATTTTAAAACTTCAATAAGAAAGAATAATTTGATGTGATGAAATAAATTTTGTGACAACAAATTGGTAATTTTCAAAAGTTAACACAATAAAGGTGACAAGAAAATAATCGTTTTTTATGACAGCTTTAATTTTTTTTCTTTTTGAATTCTAAGTGAAATAAATTAAATTTTAAAACATTTTGTTGTTTTTTGATTTTTTTTTAAAAAATTTTATTTCTTTTCCCTGTTAGAAGTCAAAAAATCCGTTAGAAAATATATAAATTTTGAAAAAATATATATATAATATACGTTTCACTGCCTTTTGCCTCTGCACTTTAGAACCTAGCACTTTTATATGTACGTTTAGGGACCAATTCTTTTATCTTTTTTTTTTTGTTTCTAACAAACGAAAAAGGTGTAGAGAGGGCCTATTTAGTTCAGTGCCCCTGAAAATGTGAAATGCCTAAAACATGCAATCAACGGTAACATTGAAAATGTACTTTAAAAAGAAAAAGATTTTTTTGTTTTTTTTTCATCGTTTCATTTTCCTCTCTTCTTTCTCTCTCTCTCTCTCTCTCTCTCTCTCTCCTTCTCTCTTTTTTTTTCTCCCTATTCATTTACTTTCCTCTCTCCTCAGACCAATTGAACTATTATAAATTCCATACTTTCCAACTCTTGAAAACGGCGCTTTTCATTTTGCTTCTACCAACAAATTATCAATTCAACCCATTTCAATCTTTTACATATTCCTGTAAAATA